GCCGAGCCACTATGTTAATTTTTAAAAGATTATTTTTGAAATTAAATCATTAAATTAATTAAAATTTTAAATTCTCATGGAGATCTAGAATTCTTGAGAATATACCTTTATACTCCTATTTGAGAAACATTTATAATTTAGATAGACTCTATTTTCTTAGAGACATAGTACCCAAAGAATCATGTGTTCAAGTACTGTAAGAGTATAGCTGCATTTGTGAGAAATTCTGCCAAGGCTAAATTTCATTTGTATTCATTTTAAGTTATTTATAATGATGTCACATTGGTTTTTCACATGGTCACATTCAATCCTAGTGGAATTTTCAACTCACAGAGGTACCTAGAGAGACCTCAATCTTTTAAAAATAATCCAAGTGGGGCTTATAAAACTGAATTAACGTAGACTATTTTGTGGCATGATGAGAGCTATCAACTGCTAATGGGTGTTCCTAGGCTGTTCAATGTGGCAAAGTTAGTCTAAGAAATTTTAGAATTTTTTTTTCCATTAACCAGAAAATACATATTTCTTAAGTATCTAGAGTAAGGTCTTTCAAACTAAAAGATATTAGTTATTAGTTTATACAGAAAAAATAATGTGTTTTTATCTGTGATTTTTCACATGTAGGTAGGCCATAACAAAAAGATATTTAAATAAACTATTTAGGGGTGGAGCGTGGTAGCTCATGCCTGTAATCCTAGCACTCTGGGAGGCCAAGGGGGATGAATTGCTTGAGCTCAAGAGTTCAAGACCAGCCTGAGCAAGAGCAACCCCTCGACCCCCCAATGTCTAAAAAATACCTGGGCATTGTGGCAGCAAGACTCGTCTCTAAAAATAGCTGGGCTTGATGGTGGGTGCCTGTACTCCAAGCTACTTGGGAGGCTGAGGCCAGAGAATCTCTTGAGCCCAAGAATTTGAGGTTGCTGTGAACTGTGATGCTATGGAACTCTTCTGAAGGTGACAAAGCGAGACTCTGTGTCTCAAAAAAATTAAAAAATACTAATACATAAACTATTTAGACAATTCTTTACAGGAAAGGTGACACTAATTTCTAAAAGTGAAAAAAAATTTTTTAAAGATGTTAAGCCATGTTTTTGAGAACAGTTAATATAATCATCCTTTTTCTCAATCTATATAATAAAGTACTAGAAAAAATTAACATATTCATTAATCCTTGACCTGTATTTTTACAATAAGGGCGAGGTTTGACAGGGCTGGGGAAAGGGATTTTTAAAATAATGAGTTCAAGCTGGGCGTGGTGGCTCACTCATGCCTGTAATCCTAGCACTCTGGAAGACCAAAGTAAGTGGATTGCTCAAGCTCAGGAGCAGACTAGCCTGATCAAGAGTGAGACCTGTATCTCTACTAAAAATAGAAAAATTAGGCTCGGCACCTGTGGCTCAAGTGGCTAAGGTGCCAGCCATGTACACCTGAGGTGGTGGGTTCAAATCCAGCCCGGACCCGCCAAACAACAATGACGGCTGCAGCCAAAAAATAGCCGGGCGTTGTGGCGGGTGCCTATGGTCCCAGCTACTTGGGAGGTGGAGGCAGAAGACTCGCTTGAGCCCAGGAGTTGGAGGTTGCTGTGAGCTAT